ATATATATACATGTTGACGCAACTGCGTATACAAGTTACTGTGTATATATAGATGTTGATATTCCCTTGATTGGCTTCCTCTCACATGCAGCCGTGCTTCTTTTCTTTTCTCTTCTTTTTTTCTTCTTTCTTTTTCCTTTTTTCCTCTCACACTATATACAAGCAACTGTTGACATGTAGATATACACGCACGCGTATATGTTTATATATGTATTTCTTATATACATATATACATGTTGAAGCAACCGGGTATACAAGTTGCTGTGTGCATATATATTTTTGATATGTAAGTAAATGTTTTACACACACACACACACACACACACACACACATGATTATATATGTATGTCTTATATTCATATATACATGTTGAAGCAACTGGGTATACAAGTTGCTGTGTGCATATATATTTTTGATATGTAAGTAAATGTTTTATATATATACATACATATATATATATAAAGAAAATATATACCCACATGAAAAATGATATTTTTATAGATAAAAAATAAATAAATTTGGAAACTTAAAGAACATTACTTTATGCAATTATGATCACAAAATTGGATTAATCTGATCTTAATTAAGATAATCTAAACACCTAAAAACACAGAAAACTCATAATTTTAATGGGGATATTATATATTTTTACATATATATATATATCTCACATATATATATATATACAGACACTACCTTTTCAACACAAGTTACCCATGTGTTTTTTTTTTTATTTGTTGAATATATAATTAACATAATTATATTAAATATATATGTTTTATTTTATATTGAATCTTTGAAATAAATTATATATAAAAAAAATCTTCAATAAAAATAATAAAAAAATTATGTTTGTTAATTACAAAATACAACAAATAAATATATATTAATAATTATGAATTTAAATACATATTTTTATAAATAAAAAAATATAATATAAAATTTAAATAATTTAAAGTCAAATTAGGGTTCCAAACTTCCAGCCCAGCCCAAGGAATTATCTGGAACATGTTCTTCCCAACACTCTAGAACCTTCTCTTTTCTTCTCTAGTTCGAGGAGGAAATATTTATTCAATTATTTCGATAAATTCCGGATTTTCCCTACTAGTTTCTAGCACTTTCGACGCATTTCCTATAATTTTCACTTCTCCTGACTGCTAATTTCACCCTAGTTTGCTGCAATTGTTGCCTGGTTGTCGAACAACATCCGTGAAAAGAGAAGCAAATGGCGGAAGAATTATCGCTGGATTTGGAGGAGCTCAGGGAACTTCGAAGCATAGCAAAGAGACCTCGAGTCCTTAGTCTGATTTCCACTGAGATTCGTACCTTGGAGAAGGTCTTCTTTCTTTTACTTTTTTTTTAACTCTTTTCCCTTTTGCTTATTTCGTTTCATCTTTTTTTGTATGTTTCGCTGCCAATGACTTTTTCTAGTTCTTAAACAAGAAAAAAAAAAAAAAACCTTCGTATATACGTCTCTTGGTGTATATACAGATTTTCTTTTATGCGCATTTTGTATTTTGATTATGAGCGTATCAGGTGTTGTTGACGGGTTTTCTTTGTTTGGTTTACTTTTTATCATTTCTCTAATTGATTTATTTCTTGTGTCTGGATAGTTCTTAGTTCTCTCGGCTATCAGTTGTGTCATTGTTTCTGGAAGTTGAATAAGTTAGCGAAAGGTTTTTATATGAAAAATAATATTAAAGGTTTGTGAAGAGAAAAGGAATAGACCAAGTTGTAGAGACATGATTAGGAATTTCTTAGAAAGAAATGAAGAAAATGTAAAGTTGTGTGCTGTTGCGATTAAAGTTCACTGGATTAATCATTTCATGGTTAGAAGAACGATAGAGGTATATGTCTACGATGTATGTTTATAACCTAATTTGCTTCTTTATCGATAAAAGTAAAAACTTTTTTGCAGGAATACGACATCTGTTAATCATAATAAAATGTGTGCTTTAGATGTGGAGCCTGCTTGTACGAGTAAATAAAACAATTTGCTGTGTAGTAGGAAATTTCAGTTGCTTATAGTAATTCACTTTGATAAGTTGATCATTGTATGAGGAGTCTAGTTGACATGATACTGTTGAAATGTGATGCCTGAGCTTGAGATGACGTCAAACGAGCGTATCGGTCCATTCCGTATTCCCGTTCTCTTATAAAGAATGGGTCTCTTCCCCTGCCCTCGTTGTCTCTATCGATCTCACAAGTCTCTCTGGTATAGGCAAGGGCTTATCTGTGAATGAACCCATTCCTCTCCCCCACAACTCCCTCCTTCTTCTTTATGTCGGTCTTTGTTTTGTAGCTGAGGTTGAAAGGTGGGAAAGTCCCCGTCTTGACTGACAAACTGCCAAAATGCCCTTGTTTGGGTCAGCTCTTTGGGGGTCAAGTCTTTTGACAAGTTTTCCTGAGGCTCCTTTTCTTAGTAAAGGCTTTTCTTTGTGGTCCGTGAGGGGTCTAGCCTCGTGAGCCTTTCCAAACGTCCACTATGGATACTGTCTCCAACTTATATGTTAGTATATCCTCTCTAGTTTTCTTTTGTTTACATAATTAAAGTAACCATCTTGCTGGAAAACCCTGTCAGACCACTGACTCATGAGGTGGCCAGAATAGACCCAGATACTGAGGTTGTCAGAGATGTAGAAGCAGAGAGGAATAATCAGAGAGAAAAGACGAGAGGAAATAGAGGAATGTCCTTGCTTGGGTCAGCTCTTTGGGGGTCAAGTCTTTTGACAAGTTTTCCTGAGGCTCCCTTTCTTAGTAAAGGCTTTTCTTTGTGGTCCGTGAGGGGTCTAGCCTCGTGAGCCTTTCCAAACGTCCACCATGGATACTGTCTCCAACTTATATGTTAGTAT